TGAGGAAAGGAAAGAAAATTATCACAGTGGTGGTGGCTCTGCACGTATCTTCTACTGTGGGGTTTGGACCTTCATGAATGGCCAGAAATTCAGCTCTGAAGTGGTCTTTATGCAAGCTGGGAACTCACATGGGGCTGAAAGGAGCAGAACTCTGAGGGCATCTTGGTGGGATTGGCAGTGGTGCTGAGCACCGGCCCATCAGCCAGACCCACACTGGCCGTCGAGCGCTCTCAGCCAGCCCTTTGCCATCTTGTCCCCAGATCGATTTGCTCCTGTACCCTTCCTGCTCCCACACCCCTCCTGAGACGGGCCGACGTCTCTTCTTTGTGGCAGGACCTGAACGATGCAGCATCTGGTCTGTGATGTGCAAATGTGTTCAGCGCCTGGGCTGCTCCAGGTGCCTCCATCACACAGGACATGCTGATGAGCAGTAACACAGCCTGTGCCAGCGGGTGCTCTGGTTAATTAGGCTGTGCTTGTACAGAAAGCAAACCTGTTCTTTTGCCCTGGGACAAGGCTCACCCCTTGTCTTTTGCAGAGTCTGCTGCAGAGTGGTCTTGCCTGGCTCAGACAAGTGTCCAGACGTAGATCAACACACATGGTGTACACTTGTGGCACGAGGAGCTGTGGAGCAGCAACTGCTCTCGGGCAGAATCGGTGCCCAGAGCTCAGGATGCAGGGAGGGAGGACAGGGAGAGTGAGGTCTGGCTGCAGTGATGTCCTTGGGGAACAGGGGATTGTGGGGACACTCCTCAGTGACTTTGTTTTTGCTTTTCAGGGTTGAAAAACTCCCTGGTGGCCCATGACATGGCATTTGAGATGACACGGGCTCCTTGGAGCCCAGAGCAGCAGATAGAGCGGCCACGACTCACCAAGAAAGTCCTGGACACAGAGGACCAGGCTGCCTTCCGACTCCAGTCAAAGATGCCCAGATACATCTACTTCGCAGCCAACAGCAAAAACAAGTGGGGCCACCAGCGTGGTTACAGGATCCAGATCACCAGTTTTGCAGGGGACCACATCCCTGAAGCCAGCTCCATGGAGAGAGCCATCAGCTGGGCAAGGTCAGGCTGTTCTGGCTGGGGTGGCAGGTTCTCAGAGGCTCCCCAGCTCTGCTAGATGGGAAGGCATCACATGGATGTCCCTTGATGGGGAAGGCACAGGGAAACACTCTTCTGGGCTGAGGTTGCTCCATTGGAGCAAGCCTGTGCTGTGCAGGCTCTTTCAGGAGCTGACTTAGCTCTGCCCTGACTCAGGGGGCTGCTCCTATCTCTTTTCTTGTCCTCAGGTACCAGCTGGCTGTCACCCGGCGGAAGGAGGAGGAGCCCACCAGCACCAGCATCTACAACCAGAATGACCCCTGGACACCCACCGTCACCTTCGCCGACTTCATCAACAACGAGACCATCACCAATGAGGTGAGCTGGGGTCCCCTGGGCTGGAGCTGTAACAGCCATCCCCAGGCTCAATGGGAGCCCCAGGGACTGAGCAACCCTGGTATTGCCCACAGGACAACATGCTCAGCTGGGAGAGCAGCAGCCCTGGAGAATCAGGAAAATGGGTTTAAGCACCCCCTTCTCCATAAGTCTGCTCGGTGCTTTGGTGAGGGTGTGCAGATCAGAGCATGCAGAGCAGGAGCTTGTTTCTCCCTGTGGAGAAATGCTGGCAAAACATCAGGAAAATCTCTGTGAGGCCGGAGTGAGGCCACAGAGGTCAAGGCAAGGGCCCTTCCGCTGGATGGATATTGTGGCCATGGCTGCAGGCAGGCCCTGGGGGAAGGGAGGGGATCTTTCCCAGGAGGGGGGAGCTCAGTGTGTGGGAACGCAGCCACTTGGTGGCTATGGGTTCCCCTCCTTCTCTCCTGTCAGTCCCCATGGCCCCCTGTGGATTTTGGTCACTGCTGCTACAGCTTCTAAACTAATCCCGGGCTTGTGGCTTTTCCCTGCCTAGGACCTGGTTGCCTGGATAACCACTGGATTCCTTCACATCCCACACTCTGAGGATATTCCCAACACTGTGACTGTGGGAAACTCGGTTGGTTTTCTCCTGAGACCCTACAACTACTACGACCTGGACCCCTCTATATACTCCCACGATGGTGTGTTTTTCACCAACGAACAGGACTTCATGGCATGTGAAATCAACCCTCTCGCCTGCCTGCCCAAAACTGCCTCTTGTTTGCCAAACTTTCCCCCATTCACCTATGATGGTTTTCAAAACATGAGCAGGCTTTAGTGCTGCAGGATGGTGTGAGGAGATGCGGTCAGAGACACCAGGTTGACTCTTCTGTCTCAGATTTTCTTATTTTAGTGAAGTTGTCTCAATTTCCAGTTGTGTAATGACTTCACATTTTATCATTGCTTTTGAAATAGTGCTCTTGAAAAAGGAAGCATGATCTTCCTGGCATGGTGCCACATGGGAGTCTATGTTATCTGTTAATTGCTGAGTTTGAGTCTGTTTCAGGAGGAAAGTGAGGAGAAAACCCTTTTCCCCTGCTGTAGAAGTAAGTGCTATGTAGTGCATATCTCAGGTTAAAATAATGAAAATGGTGCTGGTCCAGTGCTCTCGAGTGTCTCATTCTTACAACTCACAGCAGTGTCTCCTGGGGTGTGATGCTGGTCTCTGCCATGCTCCCTGTGCCCACAAACCAGCCCAGCAGTGTGGCTCTGGGTGCCTGTCAGGGCATGGGGACGTCCAGCTGGAGGGCAGGAGGGATGGGCTGGGGTGTCCTGGGGCTCTGGGGCCATGACCGAGGTGGGCACTGGCACCAAGCCCTGTGGGTGTTGGGGGAAGCCTGGGTTCAGGGCCAGGACTCCATGGGCTGCAGCTCTCAGGCACTCAGTGCTGAGCACAGGGGAGGAATGCAGAGGGGACCTTTGCAAGGTCTCATGGCTGCTGGCACTGCAGCATGGCCAGTGCCACTGCCCATTTGCCAGGATGCTGGTCAGGCTCTGGAGCCCTCATCCCCCTCCTCGCAGCCCCATCTGCGCTAGGATGTAGCTCAGGATCAGGGGCACATTTGTGGGGTGACAAGTGTCTGTCCCCTTTGTCGCGGCTGCAGGACCATGGGGATTTTGGCAGCAGCGGGTGATGCTGGTGGTGGGGCTGTGTCAGGATGGGGCCGTGGTGCTGTGCCCAGCACTGCTCTGCATGAGGAAGGGTTGTCTCTGCGGCCACTGCTGCCTGCCCAGCATCTGCGGGGTTAAAAGAAGGAGGAGCGGGGAGATGCATTTATTTCCCTCGAATGACTGGATCCATCCCCTTCAAGCTCTGCAGTGTATGATCTGGGACCAGAGGGAAGGACATATGCACAAGCATTAAGTTTACTTAAAATTATAAACTGCTGGCGAAGCAGTGCAAAGTTGCCTTTTATGGTTCCCAGCAAATCCTGGCAATGTGTGAGAACATCTCTGCACGTCCGTCCTGCGAGTTCCTCCAGGCTGTTTCCTGCTGAGAAAACAGGGGGGGAAAACAAACCCAGCCCCTTGTTCCCGCGGGTCACTGGGAGGATTCTGCAACTGGAAATGCATCCTGCCAGACTGCAAGAGCACTCAGTGCCTCA